GTAAATGATTTCCCAGTAATGCTAGCCTGTAAGCTGTGTGCTTACAGTCCCGGAGTTCGGGTAGCCAGGGCAGAACCTGCATCCCATCGTCTAGGCTAACTCGAGGCAGTTCTTGGGAGGGAAGACCGCCTCACCAAGCTGGCTGTAGAAATCCATTAGGTCTACACTACAGACCCTCTTGACATGCGGAAGAGCCCTTCCCTGGAAGGCGTCTGCACAGCCTGTCTCTGAGGACCATGTCTTTTCTCAAGGGTCCTGTAAGAGCAGAGATTAAGTAAGAGCCTAGCTCGAGCGATTTCCAGCCTGCCAGGCCCCGCTGGGGAGGAGGTAGGGCCTGAAGGACCTTCCCTGCAGAACAGAGGGATGGAAACTCCAGACCTGGTGCACAGTGGGCTACACTCTGCGTCCTGTCCACAGGCCAAGATCATTGGAACGTCCTGCACCACAGAAGGCCACCCTGGCTGCAGAGATGCCCACGTGGCTGGGCTCCTGTAGAGGAGAGTGGCCCAGAACACGCCTCTGGGAGGCAGGGTTGCCCTCTCTCCCTGTGTGCTTGCTGGGCCTCTGTTCCCTCGTCTGTGCAGAGAGCACATGCTACCCACTTTGAAACGTCACTGTGAGCCGTTGGTATGTTGATATATGAGAAGTCCCTAGCACCATGTCACAAAAGATAAAAGCCCAATGCATGGGCAATTTCTTTATAGTTTGGATTAGTACCCATCCTGCTTCACGTCAGAGCCTGTGGGGGTTCTGGGTGGAAACCGGAAGCTGAGATGGCCAGCCTGTCATCCACCTTAGCCCTCATTGCCAAGTCCAAATCCTACTATCTGTGGGAGGAACAGCGTAACCGGGAGTGCTGCCGCTTCTTGCCACCTAGGAGGGCAAGCACTTAGGTCAGATCTTTGAGAGGCTTACGTGCCAGAGCAAGGCAGTCCCTGTGCATTCTGCAGGTGATGGTGGGCCACAGCACATTCTGGAGCAAGGAGTGGCCACATCAGATAATAATCCCTATGCAAAAGATGAGTCCCAGACAGTAACTGACCAAATGGAGGTTGCGTGGGTGGGTCTCTCCAGCTCCGCCTAATGGACACCTTCCTTCAGTCCTTCTCAGGGTTGGGAGCTCTGAGAGGGGGTGCTTGGAGGGATGTTGGCTCATCACCAGCATCCTTGGGACCAGCGTCCTGCCAGGGCCGCCCTGGCCTGAGACGTCGTTGAGCTGCGGGATGGGTTCTGGCGAGGGCGGTGGGCCCAGCCCCCTGCAGGCCAAGCAGCCGCAGTGAGAGCATCTGTGTGGACGTTTCTCTGAATAAGCCGTGATATGCATGGAGGAGTCGGGGCTTCCTGCAGACCCCGGCAGCCTTGATTTCCCTAAGTTTGCGGACAGAGAACTACTGGTTATCTCTTCTTTACTTCCTCCCTCCTTCTGTTTCTTCCTTCCTCCCTCCCTTCCTCCTTCTCTTAGCTTCTAAAGTAACCCGCGTGTAAAACAGTCACTCGCATAGAAGTGTACGTGGTATAAAGAACAGGTGTGGCCGTGATCTGCACACTGCCCTGAGCCCACTTCTGCCCCGCTCGAGGGCCCCACGGTTAGCAGCTTGGGGTACAGTGATGCTTTTATGCACACAGGTACCGCTATGTGACCCCAGAGCTTGCTGGCCTTTTTTTTTTTTTTAAGCATAAATGGGATCCTCCCCTATACAGCGTTCTCCACATTGCCTTTTCACTTGGCAGCTGCCCATGACAGCGTATATAAATTATAAATATGCTTCTTTCTCTTTAACGGATGCAAAGCAGTTCACGGTTTGCATGAATTCTGATTTCCTTCCCTGGTTCCCTGTTGCTGGGTGTTGGGTTTTTTCCCACTGTTTCTGACACTACAGGCATCGGTTTTGATTTGCAAGGCCCCAGGAAAGGCAGCAAACCCTAGCTATGCACAATTCAGTTCCTCCATCACTGTCCTGTCTTGGGCTCCTCCATCAGCTCAGCCTCTCCTGCCCTCAGCCTTAACAGCATGTGACAAGTTGGCATAAGAACCACGAGGCAAACGAGGGGCTTCGGCTTATCTGATGTGGCTGTGTTTCTTTAAGTGCTCTTGTTAATGTTTCATGATGGATGGCGGTGAAACCTGGGAAATGTACCAGCCTGGATCCTGAAAGTTTCTGTTTGCACCAACCTAATGTATTCATTTATTCAGCATGACAGAGAAGGCGGGGAAGCACTGTGAACACAGGGGCACCCTCAGAGCGGGAGAAAGGACAAGAGGCAGGGGACCAGCATGGATTGAGTCTACTGAATGCCATGAATTGTGTAGCTATGAGCTCACGGATCACCCTCTAGGAGGTTGCTACTGTCAGCCCCACTTTACAGACGAGAAAACTGAGACAACACAATTTAATCAAAGACAGGCAGAGCTGGGCTCCGAAGCAGGATGTGCCTTGCAATGGCATCTCATGCTGTTTTCACCCCATCCAACTCCTGGCTGTTGCTGGGAGACACCAGAGATGGTGGGGTGTGAAGTAATAGCTGCCATTATTGGGTGCTTACTGTGTCCCAGGAACCACATTAGGCTCTTCATATATACAGACGTGTTTGCTATCCGATGAAGGAGTAAAGCACCCATTTTACAGACAAGGAACCCGAGGCTGAGAGAGCTCCCGTAACTCTCCCACAGTAGCACTATCTGACTTGCTGGCAGAGCTGGGATTTGAGACTGTGCAGGCTGACACCCAAGCTCCTGGACAGAGCCACTGCCCTCCCCAGCCCCTCGCCAGCATGACCAGACAGGCCTGAGCTTCAGGGCTGACTACGGAGAGCAAAGTGGAAGCCTGGAGCGCCCTGGGTGAAGAAGGCAGGTTGTCCACTAATCTCTTGACTTGCAAGGAATCTGGCATCTGGTAGGGGATGCACAGTTTCTGGGGAGAATGGCTGCAGGAGGCAGGCTGGGGTCAATCCCCCCTCATCATCAGGGACTCTGCCTCAACTTGTTTCTGTGTAGCTTCATGCTTTGCTGGACTCTGCAGCTCAGTAGAGGGGCCAGAGATGCCAAGGCCCTGAGGTTGGAGGCAGCTCAGTGTGTTTGGGGGCCAGGAAAGAGGCCTGTGACAAAGTGCCATGGACGAGGGGGAGATGTACAGACATGAGGCTGGGGAGGAGTGAGGCAGGCTGTGCTGGGGCTTGAAGGCCAGGTTAAAACCTTGGCTTTCACTCTGAAATCTGAAGGGGAGACATTGAGGTTTCACGTTAGGGGAGTGATCTGGTCTGGTTGACATTTCAGTTTGGTCTCGCTGGGGGCTGGGGGTGAATAAAGGGTGAGAGTGGAGGCAGAGAGTGTTGTTAGAGGCTGAGCCCAGGGACCTGGCACATCCATGTCACAGGGATTGTGTTAGAAATACACATCCAGCCCAGGCCTGCTGCTCCACTGTGGCGCTGTCTGGGGACTCTGTGCAGGAAGGGGAGACCACAGGGACTAAGGTGGTAGCTCAGAGGAGCTGAGAGGCATTCAGATTCAGGACAGATCTTGCTGGTAGAGCAGACAGTATTTGCTAATGAACTGATGAAGCAACAGACAATGGTCCAAGTACTTGGGCCCATCATCCATGTGGGAGACCCAGGAGAAGTTCAGGCTCCCGGCTTCCTCCTGGCCCAGCCCCAGCCACTGTGGCCATTTGGGAAGTGAACCAGCAGGTGGAAAATATTTCTCTCTCTCTCTCTCTCTTTCTCTCTCTCTCTCTCTCTCTCTGCCTCCCTCCCACTCCCCTTCACCTTGTCACTCCACCTTTCAAGTAAATCTTCAAATGTCATTTTTAGGAAGTAGGCATGGCAGATTCAAAGTTGAAGGGAGTGGTCTCAACTTGGGTACCCATAAGAGTATTAAAACCCACGGGAACTCTTCAGGAGTCTGAAGATTGAAGGGAGAGGAGTCAGGCCAGGGCTCCCCTGCCCTCCAGTATCGAGAGTCGCAGAGGCTGCTCCTTCCTGAACGTGCCTTTTGTGGCAGGTACATGCATGTGGTTTGCTTGTTGCTGCTTCTCAAACACAATTGAACAGGTACGATTTATGCATCTAATGTAAAAACAATTCCGGCACAGAAAGGGTAGGTATCTTTTTGAGGATTTTAACTAAGCCCATTTTCAGTGCCTATGATCTTTGACTGCGCTATATGTGTGGCCTGATCTTCTGATGGGTTCCATGTCTGATTATTAGGGACAAGCTGCCCACGTTCCCCCCGCCCCGTCCTAATGCCATCCCCTCCCTCAGGTGCCCTCAAGGCCCTCCTTCCCTGTATCCTGTGGGCCAGGGACACATCAGTGAGTGACAGCAGGCGGCCAGACCAGATACACAAAGACCAAGCCCATCCTTCCCCTCCCAAGCAAGGACTCTCCACTGCCCTGGGGCTGCGGAGCCCCCACAGGGGGCACGAAGGAGGGCTCAGTGTCCTGAGAGGATGACACAAGCAACAGGTCCGAGCAAGGCACCTTCACCAGGAACAGGAGGCCAGGGCGACAGAGGGGAGCAAGTTTCCGGAGACTTCATCAGATCAGGGACAAAGGCATGGGGTGATAGATAACCCGGGTATCAGATCTAGGGCAGAGGTGGGGACTTGGGTGAGGAAACATAGCTTCTAAATCAGTTATCATTAATAATAAAAGCTACTGTTGTTCAAGCACTTACTGTGCGCCTGATACTATGCTAAGAACTTGCACGTGTACTCCAGTCATCTAATCCCAGCAACAGATTTTACTCTGTGCTAGGTAGTATTCTGTAATGAACTCATTTTTCACAAGCTAATAAGTGGCACGGCCAGGATTTGAGCCCAGACTATCTGACTCCAGAGTTTAGTCTTCTAACCACCATTCTATGGTGAGAACTGTGCACCTAGAAACTCATTCAATCACATCAACATAGATGTGATTATTATATTTTATATATTTATATATTATATATTTCATAGATGAAGAAAGTGAGCCTTAGGAAACTATCTCATTTGTTCAAGGTCACGTGGCTGGAAGACAGAGGAGCTGAAATGCTGGCCAATCTCTGCCAAACTTTTAGCCACCAGATCCATGCTGCCTGGGTGGAGGTGGAGTTGGAAAACAAGTTGCTCTAGACCTTTGAATTTGGACGTCCCAATCTTAAACCCCTTCCTGAGCAAAAGATGGGCTGTTGTGAGGTTTCAGTGAGTGGACCTGTGTGTCATGCTTAGTAGAACCCCTGCACACAGGGGCTGGCACTGTGGTATAGTGGGTAAAGCTGACACCAGCATTCCCATTCACGTCCCAGCTGCTCCGCTTCTGATCCAGCTCCCTGCTATGGCCTGGGAAAAGTAGCGGAAGATGACCCAAGTGTTTGGGCCTCTGCCACCCATGTGGGAGACCCAGATGAGGCTCCTGGCTCCTGTCTCCTGGTTTCAGAGCACTAGCCACTGTGACCATCTGGGGAGTGAACCAGAGGATGGAAGTTTCTCTCTCTCTCTCTCTCTCTCTTTCTTTCCCCGCACTCTCTGTAACTCTGACTTTCAAAATAAATAAGCAGTTTTTTAAAAATACTTGGACATAGTGAATCCTACACAAAGATCTATTATTATTATTATTTATGAATATTGGTCTGGTGATCATTTCTCTGCCTACCATTAAGAGACTGAGCCTGTCAAGGCAAACAAGTGTTGTTTGGAGAGAAAATGTTCCTGAGAGCCGTCCCCCAGGCATCCTTCTCTCACCGTGTTTGCCTTCCCTTCCGCAGCGTGAATCTGGCAGGCAAAGCTGCCCAAAGTAAACACAGGTTCAGTGCCCCAGAAAATCTCAGGTTAGGCAGCACAGGGAAGGCCAGACAAACACCACGGCTGCAGTGGAGGGAACACGTTTGTTTGTGCTGACCTCACCAAGCCACTGGGTCCCAGCAGCCGCCCCAGCAGGGCTGCCTTCCCTGGCGGGTGCGGCCTCCGTCACCTGTGTTTTCTGGTCTCTTTTCTGGTGTGGCTTGGAATGAGTCACTGCTATCACTCACCACTTCCTGGCTTGGACATACTGATTCACGGGCTCCTGAACTTGACCCCCAGGTGGCAACAAGAGGTGGATTCCAGAGAAAGCAAGTGGGCAGTAGCAGATAGTAGTTCTTGGTGATGTCAGCACGAACTGGAGGTCTGTTGGGGGCTGGGGAGGAGACAGCAGATCCCAAGAGAAGTCAGATGACCCAGCCAGCTCTAGCTTGAGATTCTTGTCTCAGTCTTCCTCAATCCTTCCTGCCAGCCTAGAGAATTTGGACAAGGAGTGTTACAAAATCATAGGGAACTCTAAATACAACATTGTAGTCTTGAATATAATTTTAAGCCCCCTGTATCCGTTACTCTAAGATTCTGATATAGGCATGGAGATAAGATGTCCCTAATAGAGAATGGAGAATCGCCCTTCTTATTATAGTAGTAGGAAGAAGAAGTAGAGTGTTTCTCTGTAGAAATGCTCAAAAAGTTGAGGCCAAATGGAACTGTGTGCAGTGTCACTCCTTTTTTTTTTTTCAATTGTGGTCAAATACACATAACATGAAATTTACTATTTTCACCATTCAGTTTCACCATGCAGTTCAGTGGTATTAATTTTATTCGTGTGGTCATTCGGCCATCACGGCCATCCATCTCCGAAACTTTTGCATCAACCTAAACTGAAACTCTCTACCCATAAACCATCACTCCCACCCTGGTGCCCAGTCCCCCCACCCCCATAACTACCACTAGGGGTTGTGTCTCCATAAATGTGTCTACTCTAGGCACCTCACGTAGGTAGAATAACACAGGGTTCGTCCTTTGTCATCTGACTTATTGCGCCTAGTGCAGTATCTTCAAGACTCGTCCATGTTGTGAGATGGCTCAGAATGGCCCTCCTTTTAAAGACTGAAAGATGTCCTATTGTGCTGACATGACACACCCTGCCTCCCATGCATTCAGCAATGGGCGCTTGTGAGACAGGATAAACCAGGACTCATGAAATCAAGGCCCTGCTGACATGACGTGAGCATCCAGACCCTAACAGTGAAAAAACCCACCAGTGCCCCACTAGGAGCTTCCCAAACCTGCATGCATGCCAGAGCAGCCCATTGCAATGTGATGTGTGATTTTCCTGGGGTGGGGTAGTGAGCTGTACCTCCATTCTGAGCCTGTTGTGAGCGAAACAGCAGCAACAGCCTCTGCAGAGGAAACTGAGTCAACCGCAAACCCAAACGTCAGGTGCCCGAGGCGGGCAGCCAGAATTCCAGGCCTGGTGCAGATTACCGTGTCATGTGCCAAGAGGGAACCAGTCACCTCCCCAGAGAAAATCCTCTGCCTAGCTCCCCACCCCCCCCGCCACACACACACTGACCCAAGCAGCAGCACTTCTCCCAGATGTGCAATCTCCCTTATGTTTGAATATAAGCCCCCAGTAAACCTTATCTGGGCTGCGCATCAGCCTCTTGTCAGTTTCCATTATGAGGGAGGCAAAGGACCTGGGGTTGGTACCACTTGGGTTGCTTCTGTTTTTCAGCAGTTGCTGTGGTGCCATTTGTGATGTGCACCACAACAGTATGCATCTCTTGATGGGAAGACTCAAAGTCAAAGCACCTAATATGAGGAGACATGGACATCTTCTGTTTGTACAGTGTCTCGACTTGTCAGAGACTGGAACTAAGCAGTAAGGGTAACAACAGGAGTTTGAGGCCAGACCAGAACCAGATTGTAATCCTGTCCTTTCCCCCTTTATTATCCATGTGCTCTGGGACGAGTTCTTTATATGTGCTGTGCCTCGAAGGCCTTCGTGTGTGAAGACGTGAGGGTGTTATGCCCAGTAGAGACAATTATTGTAATATTAAGTAAGAGAACAGGTGTGAAAAAGTCTGACACTTACTGCTCAGTGGATTTCATTGTTGATTTCATTGTATTCATCCAACTCAAATGGAATCCGTGGTTAAGTGGAATGTGTGGTATTTGTCTCATGTAAGGAATAAGGAGACTCAGGCATTCAATGAATTAACAGCAGAAGTCAGGTCTCCCAACTCTGAAGGGAGGGATGATCAAGGAACAAGTCACACTTAAAGATTTATTTATTTATTTGATAAGACAGAGTTACAGAGAGAGAGAGAGAGAGAGAGGTCTTCCATCTGCTGGTTTACTCCCCAAATGGCTACAATGGCCATGGTTGAGCCAAGATGAAGCCAGGAGCTTATTCCAAGTCTCCCACATGGGGACAGGTGCCCAAGCACCTGGGCTATCTTCCACTGCTATCCCAGACACATTAGCAGGGAGCTGATCTGAAGTGAAGCAGCTGGGACTTAAACTGGCTCCCATATGAATGCCAGTGTTGCAGGCAGAAGCTTAACCTTCTACACCACAGTACCAGGCCCAGAACAAGTCACATGCTGAACCCCAATTAATTGTACTGGATGCCTGGAATGTAGATGAAAAGCATTCTGTGTTTGACTAGCAATGTCTGGCATGAATGCAGGAATGGGAATATCCATATATCTGCTACCACTGGCCTAGTTTATAATTTATACCACCTTTGAAACCTTTTTTTTTTAATTTATGGGGCTGGAGTTGTGGGGTAATGAGTAAAGTCATTGCCTGTAACACCTACATCCTATGTGAGCACCCGTTCTAGTCCTGTCTGCTCCAGTTCCAACCCAACTCCCTGCCAATGGCCTTGGAAAAGCAGCAGAAGATGGCCCAAGTGTTGGGCCCCTCCTCTCTAGTGGGAGATCCAGGAGTTGGAGCCACCTGGGGAGTGAACTGGCAGATGGACGGTCTCTCTTTCTCTATCTCCCCCTCTCTCTGTAGCTCTGACTTACAAATAAATCTTTAAAAAAAATCCTGAAGACAAAGATCATCTTCTGCATGTGTTTTTAAACCTGTTTGTTTCAAAGATAATAGGGGGGAAAATGATCTAATGAATGCTAAATTTCTAGCTTGCCTGCTATCAAACATCAAAAGGTGTTGTCCCAAGTGCTTAAAGACAATATTGTGATTGGCAGTTGACCCAGGACTGCGTGCGATGGTCAGAGTCACTCGGGATCTCAGAGGAAAGCAGCTGCCTCCCCAAGGTGACCTCACTGCCCACCAGCGGGGTGGGACAGCAGCAAGGATGGCTTGGTGAGCCAAGCAGCGGGAACACCTGCGAGAACTCTGGGTAGAAAGGCACATTGCATGGCAGGCTGGATCCCTGCCTCCTTAGGGAGAGGATGACTTTGCACCTTCTACCTGCCTTCTGGCCTTTCAGAGTCCCAGTGGCCTCTCTGCCTCTGGTTCCTGCCAGGCAGCTGGAGTGACAGGTGCACAGCCCTGGAGGCCTGGAACCCCGAGGGCACCAGAGAGACCTGCCCTGGAGCCTTTCTCCCCTTCTGCTGCTTCCTCCCAGTGGCTCAGGGATTCCTGCAGTAGGACCTGGCTTCTACAGCAGCACCTGCCTGTCTCATTCATCCCTGAGCCACTCAGTCCCAGCCCCAGTGACAGGTGGACGGTGTACCTTCTGACCACCTTCCCCAGCCTACTGTGCGCTCGCTCGCTCTCTCTCTCTCTCTCTCTCTCTGCCATGTTCCTCCTGCCCTGGCTGATCCAGATGCCCTCCCAGGGCCTCCTGACTCAGTGAACCACAGACAAGCAGCTTCAATGCCACATTGCAGGCCGTGGGGTGCTCCACAGCCCTCCTCGGGTTCAGGCCTCTCCTGGTTGGCGGCTGGTGGTAAGGGTAAGCTGTCTGCCCAGCCCCCTAACATCCCACACTCTTCCCCTGCCGTTTTTGGCCCTTTTCCCACACTGCCAGTGCCGTCTGTGTTCTGGGTGACATTTACTCAATCGGAAATGCAATCTCTCTGGCAGAAGGCAATGTGTGTGTGTGTACGGTGGACTAAAAGATTCGCTGGAGAGACAAAGAGGGGATATGTATTTTAGAAATGCGTGTAATTTCATACCGACTATTAGATATGGTGTGTCAAATAAAAATCACAAGAGCTTGTGTTTAGAGACTGTTTTGCCATGGCAGGAATTATGCTAGCATTTTATGCTCATTATCTACTTTGATTAGATCCACCACCCTACGAATTAGGCCCTGTGGTTAGGTCTAATTTACAAATATACCAAGGCTTAGAGAGGGTCAGAAACTGACCCAAGGTTTCCAAGCTGGGAAGTGACAATGTTAAGGACTCCTGAACCTGTAATCCCACTGCTCCTGGTCCCCAAGTCACCCGGCACAGCGTTGGATGTTTCCTGTCTGCTGCATGACCATTTGACACCCCAGCCTCACTCCATCCCAGGAACATGCTCTCTCTTCTTCCCACTCTGCTTTCTTAGCCTCATCTCCTTCCTTCTAGAACATTCTTCAGAACAATTCAAGGTCTCCTCGGCCCTCTGCTTCCAACCACCACTGCCATCTCAGCTTCCATCAAAGTTCTCAGTAGAACAAAGGACCTCAACTATAACTACACCCGTATACCTTGATGTTAGGCGTGTGGACTCACCTTCTAATACACATGCTTTCTGCTCCAGGGCAGGGATGACAACCGTGTGGCATGCGGCTGCCACTCCCTACCCATGGCAGACATCACTAATTAATGACAGCACTCCTTCCTGCCCAGCCCAGACGCAGCTCTGGAATCCATAGCACAGGGCACCAGAGAGCCATTGCCAATTGATCTGGCCCGATTTGTCAACAATACCTTCTCTCTTTGCTTGCACGGGGTCTCCTGACTTCACAGATAGTGAACCAAACCACCCATGAAGGGGAAGGCAAAAGCCTATCTCAGTCATTGGAGGAGACCTCAGACTGGAATAATTCCTTTCCTGGGCCTCCCTCTTTGCCAGCCAAGTATCTTTTGATTGAAGGCTCTTATGAGTAAGAGAAGAAAGTTGACTTTTTTGTTACGTGGATGCAGGTCCCACAGCTGGGCATGGAGACAAACCCTGGGGGCCCCAGACTCAAGATAAACCAGACTGGCCAGTTTCTTAGGATGGCCTGTGTTCCCCTGATGCTATCCCTGAGCTTTAGCAGTCTGGGTTCCTGTCCCACCCTGGCTATGATGGGTCCGTATCATACTAATGGGGAAGTCATGAAGCTGAGCCCAATTTGCAGCCATTTATAGGACAAGCACCCTTCAAGCCAATATTGTGGTAACAGGGTAACATGGGCCTACCAGCATAGGAGTGGAGTTTTCCATCCTTAGAGCTTCCAGCAAGCCTTAAAAAGGGGTAGCTGATAGAGCTCCAAATCCCACAAGAAGCCGAAAAGTCA